GCTAAGCTACTGACTGTAAATTTAAAAATTGCGTTGTGTGAACTAGTGTAAAGCTTTTTTTTTTTTTAATGCAATATATAGAGAATTGTTTTATTACATGGCGGCAAGAAGAAGCTGCAGTTGCAGCAAGCTGATTTTTCACCGAGGGCAGTGATACATTCATTTAGATTCAGGTAATTCAGTTGCGCTCACTAATGTCCGTCATCATGTGCTTTACCACACGGCTCCGGATCTGGAGTGGACGGTGAAACCTCAACGACAATTATTCTGTTTACATTTCAGTCGCTGAGGCGGCTCTGCCTGCATAATGGAGGCCGATGTCTAATTTAATCGAAGGCAAGTATATTATGGAGGTTAAATTTGCACATAAATAGCACACAGAGAAAAAGAGAAAAAAACATGAGTAATTTTACTGTCTGGCTGAAAGCTAGGCCTGCGGTGGGTTGTGGGCATCAATAAATGACTACAGTTATAAGAAGATGATTACTGGTTGCTGTGACAACCACTTGTGTTTTTCACAAAACGGTCTGTGTAAAAGTTTTAACCTTTACTTAAATATTTGCTACATTTTAAAACTTTGGACATGTGTTGTTGAATACTGAGATGCAAATTTTGTCTAACGTATTATTTTGTAATATATTATTAGAAAAGAGTGTTTGGATCACAAAAAATTGTATTTTTGAGAAATTAACAGTCATGACTAATTTTTGATATTTAGTTCAGTTCAATTCAAACATAATTAAGGTTATTGCAATACAAGTTTCTATGAAGAGTTGTTGTAGATGCTGATGACTATAGCAGTCTGTATTGCAGCAATTCTGATGAAGCCTCTGACTGAAGACATACTGTAGTATAAGTCTCTTTAAACATTTTTCTCATCGTTGTCTGTAATTTGCTTTATTTTATGAAGAATCCTTCTTTGCACCATAATCTCAAGATAAACCAGAGAACAGAAACAACTTTTTCATCGTTTTTAAGACGAAAAAGTGTTCTGCATGTTTGCTGGGTTAAAAAACCAAAACAAAACAAAAAACAGCAGACTATGTGCTAAATCCATATTTTTTCTGGATCTTTTGTGTCTTTTTAGCAACGGGAACAGGATGTGGTTTACTCTTACTTTATTTAAAGTTTTCTGATGGGGCTGCATTAGAGTAAAAACCTTTTACAAATAAATTCAATTAAAAGCAAAAAACCTGGACGAATACTTTGTGTTGCACCTTACCTGGCAACATTCCAACATTGTTTTTAAATGTGGATTTGCATCAACAGCCTGAACTGCCAAACCAAATTGAAGTTATTCTTGAGAGCCACCCAGAATTGTTCTGAGGGCTGCAAGTGGCCTCCGCGCCGCACTTTGGACACCCCTGCTGTAATGCATAATGCTTGGAACAGGAGAAAGTCCTTGTATCCGGTTTTTTCTGTTAAGTGTAATTCAGGCGAACAAACAGGATCTGAAATGAATATCATCTCAGTGGGAAATAATCGTTAAGTCTCACTTGAGTTGAGGAGTAATTAGTTTTTAAAAACCTTCAAAATTTTAGCAGCAATTTTTTTCAAAGCAGCAGTACTTGAATGTGTGGTTTACAAAGGACCAGTAGTATCATTTCAGGCAGCATAAAAGAAAGATTATCCTCTATATTGACCTGCACCTCTTTCAAATAAGAGACGAATACCAGAATGGATCTCTACTAAGACTAAATAAATGGTGCCTGATTGGAGCGAATTACTGAGAATCTGGCTCAATATAAGAAGCCATTACTAAGCTGTTCCAGTAAAGCATTAAAGTGGCTATACATTTAATTTACAGCTGCTCGTTAATTTCAACATATGGCAGCTGGATTACGTATGAAACTAAATGTTATATTTACAGAGAAACTGACACATGTATGGATCTCACCTAAATCTTTAAATGTACGTCTTCTTGGACAATAGCTGTCCAATGATTCACTCTGGATTCAGATATTAAACTCTTAAGAGAGAAACACAAGGAGGAATGTTTTTTATGGCTCATTCATTGTCACAACGGTGACAGCTTCTTCTGCTAAAAGCACTGCAGGAATAAACCAGCGGGGGTTTCCATGGTGTTGGATCTGCGCCGCTGCTTTCATGTTTGCTGTACACTAAAGAGGTTTGTTAACACGCCACTATTGACCGAATAAGTGCTGTCATGGGATTTCATTGCCTGATTTGCAGCCACAGTTGGAGTCAAATGTTTGGTACACAACCGTTAGCCCTACTGACAAAATGTGTGATATGTTCCTCAATGCTACATTGAAAAACACAAAGTCTTACCTGGCATTTGTTGTCTAGTTTCTAGTACATTTATTCTAGTGCAAGTGAAGTAAGAAAAAACTAACTTACAAAAGTTATTGCAAGTTAGTTTTGTCTGATTTCAAGTGTACTGAGATACTTTCATAGGAAATGAGACCAAAAATACTCTGAAAGATTGTGCTTTTGCATTGTACTTTATCCTCAAATTGGGAAGAACTAATATTTCATAATTTGACATGAAATTTAATACTCACAAGTCATGGCAGAAAGACTGGCAATGATGCTAAAGAGTCAATTGTTGCTGTCCATTGATCAATCAAGGGTTGTATATCAATTTTTAAAATGATTATTACCTTATGGGAAACATTTAAAATAGTTGCCAATCTTAAAAGGAGTGTAGTGGACCTGCCAGAAGATTCTCCTCAATCAAAACTTAATGTGATGAAATTCCAGAAAACACAAGATCTCCTTCCCAGTCTCTGCAGCAGGGCACACCTGAGTCATATAATTAGGTAGCTAGCAGGACTCAGGAGAACTTCCTGGCTTCTTTAGGATGTAAATTGGCCATTTGATTCAGGAGTGTTTCACTGGGAATTAATCCAAATGTCGCAGGACACCAACCCTCGCTATGCAGGTTTCTGCTGCAGGGCCGGCCCTAACAGATTTTCATTTGGGTCCCCTCTCCCACACCAACATGACAAAACCAGATGCTTTATCACTCTTATGGTCCTCTATGTATATAACATATCTGCTATTATTAGCATCACTTGTAATTAACTTCCATCATACTAGTGTTATTGTGGCTCTTGATTTTAACCTTGCAGGACTAGCAAATATAGTAAAAATTGGATTTTGAAAAGTAGAGTGGTATTTAACTGTGTCATATTGTTTTTACTATTTGTAAGTAATGTCAGTAGTACTTTTATGGTAAACAAGCTAATAAGTTATATTTCTCCAACAGGGGCAGCAGCTAACAGTAGGAAGATATCAACCTAATATTTGTGTAACAACTACAAAAATGCATTTAGGACAAACCTGTTTGAATAGGACTCCTCAGTGGAAGTTTAGAACAAATTTTAGTTGCGCTAATAGATTTTTTATTGAAAACTGAAGGAAAAAAGAAGAAATATTAAACTGAGACGAGTCAGTTGGCCTGGAGCCAGAGTGGGTTTATGTTGGACCCAACTTGTAGCTAATCCTTTTCTTCCTGCTCGATTACACTAAATGTCTGACCTTTAGCTCAGGTTCTTTTAGAGACCAGCCAGCATCAGCTTGCTCCGGTAAAAGAGATATCCGAGGGGCTAGCTGTTGAATACTAATGAAGTGTTAATGGCAAGGTTGACTTAATGCTTAAATAATACACCGGAGGTCTCAGAGCATGACGTGGGCTGAAAAAAATTACGTTTTTGCATGAATATGCTGATTTCAGAAGGAAAACATTGATTTGTTTAAGCCAGATAAACGAAAATGCTCTAATATGAGGCAGAAAATGCAGTGCCTGAATCTGTACTGAAATTGTCTTTCTTCTGCCTCTTTAAAATTCTAAATTATAGATCTTAATTTTTAATCACAAATCTTTGGTTTAGGGATAAAGCCACTGCCTAAATAATGCATTTTTATGTTCATTTATGCTCCAAAATGTCAATATTAATTCTCACTAAAGCCCAACATCTCCCTCTCCTGGTAGAAATCCAGTGTCTCCTCATTTGACAAGAGCGCTTATAAGAAAAGTTTATTCAAAACCAGATTTGCTTTTAATGATGTCTCAGTTGCCAATACAGTGGAGTGCTCTGCAGTTTAATTTCAGGCTTTTATGTGTTTTTTACAACCTGTAATTGAAGTGGATGAATGCTGCTTTAGTCAGGATTTGTGGATTTTGCAGATCTTTGCAGTAGTTGCAGATTGTAACACACAATTATCCCCTCCTAAAAATCTTCATGGTATGACCGCAATCTCATTTCCTCATCTTCTGCACTCCGATGAAGAAAACGTGACCTCAAATACGAGTGGAAGAGCGTCAGGGAGGTGAATGCTGATCGGTCGCACTTCCAAAAACCAAATATCAAGAGGCTCGTCTCTCTCAAAAGCAAATAAGAGCAAAAAGATTCAACAGTAAAATGATCATAGAATCCTCAAAAATAGCAATAAAGCTGCAGGAGGAACTGTCAGACTTCCTACTTCTGTAAGAATGATGTTTCAGTTGTGAAACATTGTGTTTTACTTGTTGAAAGATTGAAAAAAAAAGAGAGAGTATCAAAGATTGGCTATAAAGCAGCTTTTATTTGCATAGTTTTGTCTTGACCACAGACAAAACTAACCCAAACATGTAGCATATTTTCTTTGTTATGGATGTCACTGATGTACATGAATACATGTTGTGGATATGAAACGTACACCACGATAAATAATTTCACAATTTCTTCTTAACCTTTACCATGACGGGGTAAAAAATTGCAAGAATAAAGTCATAATATTACAAGTATAAAGTTGTATGAAAATAAAATCAAATAATATGATGATAATAAAGTCATAATAACACATTTTAGTAATAATTTGACTTTATTCTCAAAATAGTAAGAATATTAAATTTGTTCTTGAAATATTATGACTTTATCATATTGATTTTATTCTCATATTATTGCAACTTTACTCTCGTATCATGACATTATTTTTGTAATATTACGACTTTATTGTAATTGATTTTTTTCTTAGCATGGTCCTTTATAGCCTTAGAAATCCAACCTCCAAATGCATTGGCAGGGGCAATAAAAAAGCTGCAACAACCTGGTTGGCCAAGAAAGGCAAACTGTTCATCTATTGGCTTGTTGAAGCCCTCTTTAATTCATTAAAAAAAAAAAAATTGTTGTTTTTAAAACTGTCTATGACCTTGACCTAATCAAGAGCTGCTACATCAACACACACCCTCCTGTTCTGTCTGAAGATGAAGTGTAAACTTAGAGACGGCCGTGGTTTTGCTGCAGCACCTCCTAAATAAAGGAATGACCTTTCTTTGGACTGGACGTCTGTTTTTAAATCCTTAAAACCAATCTCTTCTCCCTGGCCTTTGAGACCGTCTGAGATGTTGACTTTTACTTTTATTTTATTTTTTTATTTAATTTAGTTTTTATCTTGACTGATAGTATAACTGCTGTATTTATAAAAAAATTTTTTTTAAAAGACTTATTTGATTTTGTAGAGCCTTTTGTTTAGACACTTTGGTCTTATGGACATTTAAATGTTTTGTAAATAAAGGTGGTATGGTATAGTATTTGGAGAAAATATGAGACAGCTGTGACTAGGGATGAGTAATAAATCGATCTTATCGATTAAACAAATTTTTGGTTTATGGAAAATCTTAAGTTTTCTCCTTGGGTTTCCATAGTTCATAGTTTGTTTGTTTTTTATCTACAGCTTTTATATATTTGGATTTTGAATTCAGGTCAACTCTACTGTACTCTAATTTTATGTTGTTTAATAATGTCTTGATATTACCAAACTAAATTTGGAATATTAGGAAATGAGGTAGTCATTTTTGAGACCTCAAACACAAAAAATAACAAAAAATAAATTTTCCACACTTTTTTTTCCTCATTAAAACATCCTTGTGCCTTTATTCTGCAGATATGACCATATTTTCATGATTAAACAAAAATTCTTGTATTCCGACCCCAATACTCCATCGCAGAGCTCTCATAAGGGACGACTACAATAATTCTGATTGAAAGCGAGAATTTTGTTTTTATTAAAATCGGAAAAGTGAAACTGGTCAAGAAGAGTTTTGTTCAACATGTCACATGAAATGTCCATGTTTTCTCTCTGTCCTGATAAAGGAGTAGGTCAGGAAAACAGAAGCGTTTTCTTCCAAAGTAACATGAATGTGCTACGGTCTAATTAAGCTAACCATTACACTATGCCCACTGTGAAACATGGAGGTGGCAGCCTCATGCTGGGGAGTGATTTTTCTTCAGATAAAACTGTAGATTTTAAATCCAAGTGGTTGGAATTAGAAACAGCTCCAGGATTGGAGTTCAAGCAGATATCAAAATCATCAGTCACTGGAAAACAAATTCAAGTTTTGGAATTACGGTAGACTGATCCCAGAACTTGATAGGAAATCTGCAGCTTTATCAGAATCAGAATTTCTTTTAATGTCATTGTGCCAATTTGAATGTGTAACTAGTTACACATAGATACATATTTGAACATTTGAGTAATTAAATTTGCCAATAATAGGTGGCCCCTGCCAGTAAAGACTAAAGCACTTCAACCAGTACCAGTTGAAGGAACCATGTCACTATGACTTTAATTTTTGCGTTTCCCGCAAATGCACATTTTAGATCCCCTGTACGTATGAAGGTGACAGCCAGTCAGTGTCAGAGTAATTTTAACGAGTAAAAGAGTGAGAGGTGCTGACCAAATGTAAGGCTTTAATGACTACAAGAGTAAAGTCCCTTAAGCGTAAAGTCCTCTGTGGGAGTGGGGCCAATAATTGGATCAATATTTGTAAGCCTGAGCACAAAGAGATTCAATTTTCTCTCTCCAGATGACACCATTTCTTAATCAATATGAATTAGCTTACAAATTTGATTTCAACATTCGACTCCAGTTCAGCGTAGGTGACTTGTTGCCATCGTTGCTCGTGTAAAGCGCCCTTTTCAAGCCTGAGAAATTCCGACTAACTGCAACTTTAGCTGTTATAAAGAGGCACCACTCTGTCGATAGTCGCCCTGCAGATGGGGCATTTCTTTGGCTCCTGCAGGGCCTCGAAGCAGGGGCCGCAGGCACACACGTGACCGCACTCCAAAAACACGAGAGAACGTTCCCGGCTCAGACACACGACGCAGCTGGTGGCGGAGAAGCTGCCCTCCTCTATCTGGAGCTCACGCATGAGCCTCCTCTGCTGCTCCTTGAACTCCTCCTCGACACTCCGCCGCTTCCTGCTCTCCCGGCAGTGAACGTACCACTTCCACAGCACGTAGAGGAGTGTGGAACAGGCGGCGAGCCCGAACACGTAGGACAGGATCCTCCACACCCTCACGCCGCTCATCTGTTTCCTCAACAGGGACTCGTAGTTCTGCCGGGTGAGGAAGTAACAGAAGTCCTGCTTCGGCGGCTGCAGCTTGATCAGGTCGTTGTCCAGGACCAGCTCGCCCACGCCCGTCACGCTGTCGCCCACGCGCAGCATCTCTTCCATTTCGTGGATCCCTTTGGACCGCTCTCCGCTGATGAAGTGGCTGATGAGGTTGAACATGGACTGGACCGTGGGGTGGAAGTTCTCGTAGGTGGTCTCCAGGTCCAGCTCTACCGCGTCCAAGGGGCGCACAACCCGCACCGTGGTGGAGATGTTTTCGTCGTAAGACCCGAGCGCGAACGGGACGGTGTTGGTGCGCTGGTGGATGATTTTCTCTGTGCAATTCCTGTTTGGAAATATAGTTGAACATTTTCAGTTTCATTTAAATTAAGTCAACTTAATTGTTTACACAGCAAAAAAAAAAAAAAAAGAATTTTTATAGTAGTGGTATATATTAGTATATATTGGCAATATGTTAGTACACTTGAAATAAGACAAAACTACATAAAAACATTTTTTTCAGCAAGAAAAAAGCTTGTTTAAAGTCAATAATTTCTAAATATTGATGGAAAAAGTACGAGTTACAAGTGAAATAATTGACCAGTGGAACAGAACATTATTCCCATATCATATATTAAAATGTCTCTTTCCACTGGCAGATTATTCTACTTATAACTAGTACCAGTGCGGGTAAAGCAGCTGTTATTGATATCTGATGCTGATCAGTTTCTCTGGACATTAGTAAAGTTCATGTGATATTTTGAACTGAGAAATATGTACAATATAGTTTGTAGAGTGGCAAAACTTTTTTTTTAAACTAAAACTGCTTTAGTTATAATTTAATACACCATTTAGCTGTCATATTAAATCTATAAAGAACCAACAGCAGTTCAGTTTGATTTCTCACCGCCTCAGAGACGTCAAGCCTTTATGTGATTTTGCATGTTGCATTGTTGTGTTATTATAGTTGGTCTAGGTTCAAATGCAGTCTGTGTTTGTGAACACACTGCTGGTTATGGAGCTGAACACTGACTCATTACACACCAAATCGAAGCCGTCCATAGAACTAGTGGAAAGCTGCTGCTATAGCACCATCATGATGTCACGTCTGAATAAGTATTTTTATACAAAGAGAAGTAGCTTAGTAGCTTTTTGTTGGTTGATTTTTCAATTGTATTTTTTTGGGCCAGTTTTGTGTTTTTTTTTCCACATGAATTTATCAAAGATAAAAATAAATAACTTTCTTTTCCCCCTGGCCCAGTAGAAATAAGACAGGAAGCAATCTGTGACATTTGGATGGCGGCATTTGCAGATTTGTTTTCATGCCGTTCAATGTGCTGCAGCTAATAAGCAATCCAGCGACAAACTGATGCCAGGGGTGCCTTTTCCCTTCTCCCCGATGAATGTCTGATGAGGTACATCACAAAAATGTGGGCTCTGTGAATCTTGTGGGGCAAGCTGCTGCCTGCGTCAGAGTCACCATCTGTTCTGACTACGATACTCCACTGACGTTACCACCTTATGCAAGATTTGAATAGTTGTATGAAGTCATTCATCTGCTTGCATGTCAAATTCTGATGATGGTGCTTGGACTAGAAAAGCCAGAAAAGCAGGAAACAAGCAGAATGTAGATCCGATCTTCAAACGACTCACCATAAGTGAGTGGTGCGATTCCACACCATCTTCTCCTCTTTCAGAGTCAGCCTCTCGATGACTCCTTTGCAGTCATCAACAAACTGGCTGTTCAGAGTGTCCTTCACTGATCTCACCAAACCTGAGGCACAAAACCACTCTTAGTAAAGCAGGGAGGTGAAACTTATTTGTCGTTTTCAAGCTTTAAAGAATGTGTTGCAAACCTTCTATGACGGCATATGGGATGCATCTCCCAGAGGTTTCAGACAGGATGGCTTTTAAATCCTGATCAATGGAGATTTTTTTAGCTTCCTGCATTAAAAAAAACAACAAGAAAATTGATCAAATCTTGCACGCAGTAAGTTAATACATTTGCGATTTTGTGCCTAGAAAACATGTCTGACCTTTAAATGGGTAGCAGTTTTAACTCTGCTTCTGTAAATGGAATAAAATACGGCGGTCAGCGCGGAGCTGGTGGCTAAAACCACCATCTCCACCACTGAAGGTTTTCCACTCGACTCCATCCTGGGATTTGATTCATTTAGGACCACTTTGGGAGAAAGATGGGGAAAAAAAATGATTCAATTAATTTCTATTATGAAGTAGTTCCTTTTACTTTTATGTTGTAGTTTAACTCTCCAGCATTTCAGAAAAAACATAGTAGCTAAATTCTCTTTCCCGTCTTTATAATGTGACAAAATGTAAAAATATGCTTAAAGTAAGATTAATATTTAAACACTCAATAATTAAGCAAATCCCATGTTTACTGAGAATGAACTACCAATTCTTTGTTATACCAGTCAAACAAGAGTTTTTAGTTTTCAGTCATATATAACCACTGGAAAAAGAAAGCATTCTTTTCCAAACTCAGTGTTTACATATCAGGAAATAATTTAATTCATCTGGTATTAACAAGGTTCTTAATATATTTAAATGTAACCTAAAATTATCTAAGTGTACAACAACATAACAAACCCAAATCTGTCATTTCCTATTAAACAAAAATGTCCGTTGTGAAAATTGGATTTAATGGCGTTTAGAACCACTTTTTACAGCAAGAATTCAAACGACTTTTATATTACTTTATAGTTCTCTTATATTGTTGAAAAAACAATTTAGATCTTGTTTTGACAATGCAGTTGATAAAACGGCATGGGCTATTTTTGGTTTGTTTGTCTTTTGAAATTAGAGAGTCATGTATTTTTCCTATCACAATATAAACATTAGCAAATGTTCAGGAATACAATAAACAGGAAGAAAACGTTTAGCCAAAAGTCAGAGCTTTTTTTTATTATTATTAATTATAAGAATGTAAACATATTTGAAATGCATACTTCTGCATTTTAAATGTTCAAAAATATGAGTAAAATTTCACCAACGACTACACTAACTAACAACTTCAAAACCACATACACTTAGCTCTTGAAGCCAGTCAATATCATAACACACATAACCTTCAAAACAGGAAGTTAGCTTCGGTTAACACAAAGACGATTCATTATTGTCAATCGAACTACTGCAACGACTTTGGCCTATTTAATAAATGCTATTTAGTCTGTAGCCCCCAAACGTGGTCAGTTTTTTTTTTACAGTTATTAGCAATTTCAACATAACTAGCCGTTGGTAACCATTATTAGCAAACAAACTAGCTAACACTTTTCTACCTAAGCATACTTGCTAACATAAAATTTAGCAGTTTGCTAACTATGTTTGGACTACAAAGGAGAAGACGGTTTACGCCGTATTAATAAAGTTAAGAATGACTTAATAGATAAAAGAAAGTCTGAACCTTTGCTTACCTTCGTTGACAGGAGCAGCTGCTTTTGACCAGTTCTGCTCAGTGGAATAGTTGCAGTTCTGCTGTTAGCCAGCAGAGGTCAGTAAAAAACCGTTGAAAAAGAAAGAAAAAAAAAATCTGTGACCAGAAACTGTTCTAAGTGAAACTATGCAAAAATGTTTCGAAATACTTCAATGTGTCTGTTATGTCATAGCAAAAATTCCCTTTTATTTCAGAAGATAAAAATTATTTATTTACATTAAAGTTGGTTTTGCCCAGATTTCTAATACAGTACCTTTAAATATGCAAATTCCTCACTCTTTATACCTATTATTTGGTTGTATGTTGTGTATTTTTGTAAAATTGTAGAACCTGAATTACCATACACACATACTTCAATAAATTTAAAAGTCATGAAGCATTTAATTTATTTAATTAATTCAATTCTAAAAATTAGACACAATCAAACATGATAGAGATATAGATATAGAGATTCCTAAACTTATGATGTATTTCAAACATTTGCTTTTGTTAATTTTGATAATTAAAATTATATTTCTAATAAAAGTAGCTATGTTACAGCTGTGGTACAACCCATACAATCATGGAAAAGATGACTTACCAGACAGTCACTGACATCTTCCACAAGAGGGGTAAGCCACAAAATGCCAATGCTAAAGAAGCTAACTTGTAAACTGAGTCCGATTACCAATTATTACTGTAAGATGAGTGGAAGGAACCACTGGTTAAGAAAAAAGACATTTCTAAATTTCCCCAGATTTCATCTCCACTCATATTTTTTTCTGTCCTTGGAATATGCTTTTACTCAAACTAAAAATGAACAATTTGATTTCCTTTCATTTAAAATAGATAATTAAATAAACAATAACTAATAATAATAAAAAAAAGCTACAAAGAAATGGTTTGAAGAGCGTTTCTTTCCTACAGTTGGTTGTTTTTCATTTTTCCTGTTTGAGGAAGCATCAGATTGCTTTTGCCTCTGCAGAGAACAATGTTAGTGCCTGATCTGATAAAATTAGGACGGATTTCTATTCATTAAAATGCAGCTCCACTGCTTGGAGCTACCTAGAGAGAAGCAGGTCTTTCCTGCCCTGAGATGAACCTTTGACTGCAACTGGATGTTAATGTTTGAATCTAATCTTAGCGATGACTTTGGGTTCAGCTATAAATCATTCCACTCACACAAGTAGGCTCTTGCAAAGAAAACAAAAATTGCCTGCATTGCATGATAAGGCTGATTTAAAAAGGTACCGCTTTTTTGAGAAGTAAATGCAATAGTTTTTGTTTGAGTTGTATGTGTGGGTCATTTAATTGTTGTAAATTAATTTAGAAATGGGCAAACAACACCTATGGACAAATGTACTGTTTATTTCCAACATCTGAACTCAGATTTGATTTCTTGTATTTGGGTCTGTGCAAAGTGACCACTTTCTGCCTGGAATATGACTAAACACAGTAATCATATTATCTGAGACTGAACTGCAAAACAATTAAACAACTATTTTCACTCAATATAATGTTAAATCAATGTAAGAGTTTGAGGTTTCACAAAAACAAAACAGTGAAAAAAAATTCAAGGTACTTCTTTTTCAGTTCTACATATCTATATGTTTTTAGTAAATGCAAAATTAAGTTTCTAAATGATTGTTTTGTTTAACGAGGTGAAAAAAGCTAAAAGAGGTTAAAAAGCTATTCTTGAGGTTTTAGAACTGCAGCAAACCACAGTGATACGGAGGAAACATGGAGCAGTGGTGAATCTTCTCAGGAGTAGTTGACCTACCGAAAATACTCCATGTATGGCTCAATGACTTATTATAAGTTATAATACAAGAAAAATGTCTAGTTACTTGGCTTATAACTAGTTCTTTTCATCAATAATTAGGAAATATTGGCTTTAAACAAGATATTTCTTGCTGAAAAGCCACGTCTAAGTCAGTAAACCTTTGTGTGTGCTCAAAATGCCTCCAGTGTGATTAAATTCAAGGAGTCCTAAATTAACCTACGTTTTTCATGTGGTATGACTTTTTCACACAAGCTGATTTGGATAGCTTTTCTCCCTTAATAAACAAAGCTGTCTTTATCTGAAGTCAAAAGTTGCTTGATGATCTGAAACACGTGTGACAAAAACAAAAAGAAAGCTCTAAAGTGTTAGGATCCTGAGTTGTTTAGTTATATTGGAGTTTGATTCATTTATCCTAGTTTGGTTATTCTGTCTTCCATAGTCTTTTCTTGGATTAAATCTGTTACTCTAGTTTCATTATGTTTATTTAGTCTAGTCATTCTTTAGTGTTGAAATTATTCCTGGCATAAAGGGGGAAATGCTTTTGATGATTTGGTGTATGCTCATGTTCTTGTGTCTGGGGACATTCTGACACATATCTGACCATTTTAAAGATAAAAATGATCTGTTTTTAATTTCATTGTTATGATTCATGTCCTGTCCATGCTGTGTTAAGCACTCATTCAGTTCACCTGCCACGCCTGATTGCTTACCTGTTCCACCTGGGCCTTGCCCTATTTAAACACCCCTCAGCCTCTGCTTCCTTGCCAGATTATCGACAGCCAGGAGCCAGTAGTGATCCAGTGTTTCATTCCAAGCCTTCAAGTGTTTCTTCGACCCTCCTTCTGACCACGGATTTTCCCCTCCTGCCAAGCCCCTCACGGATCCCTTCTATTCTGGATTTCTGGACCCTGACCCAAGCTCTGCCTCTTGACCACCGATTACTGCCTGCCCCTCAAAACTAAGTTTGTTCTCTCCGTCCTCCTGTGTATGACCTCAGCCTGATACTTGACAAAGTCCCTGGGTGTCGCATTTTGGATCTCCCCGTGGAGATCTTCATTGCCTCCTCAGAACCCTGTTCCATTGGTTTCCTGCATCTCCCTGTCATCGGACCCTCTGTTCCTCTGCTCCGCCCGTCCATTGCTCTACAGGTCAGTTAAGCTGAACATTTCTCAGATACCCCTCCTTTATCTGTGCATCACCAGTCTTCTCCCCTCTCTCCTCAGTGCTGTGTTGATGACCTCTCCCTGTGCAGTAACCAGTATAAGAAAAAATAAACTTTTTTCCTTTTTGTATACTCCTGTGTGTGGTTGAATTTCCGGGTCCCCTCTGAGTGTCCTTACATTCATACCAATATAGTTATGCATTTTTCTTGTACGTATTTAGTAAATGTGCTGTATCAACTTCCTGATGCATTTTAAAGTGATCATCTGTGTATCTGCTGGGTAATTAGAAGCTGATTGGGTGCAGAGGCATGAAATGAATCCTGATTCTGTTCTGTGTATTTATGATATAGATAAAACTGAAGTATGTTTTATTAATGCAAAGTCTAATCAACTCCTACATACTTCGGTGTGCACTCATCCTGTTCTGAGCAGTTATTTAAAAATATGGTGAAACAAAAATCTGCCAAAGCAAAGTCTACATGCTAAAACAGTTTGACATATCCAACCTGACATGTGAATAATGAAGCCTGTGTGTGAAGGTGAGTCTGGCTTTTTCCACCTTGCTTTCAGCCTCAAAAAGAACAGAAATATCCTGCAGGCTTCTGTTGAGGGTTAGTCATGCTATTTTGTTGGTAGTGCACGCTTTGCAGATCCAGTCCTCCTTTGTAAAGGAGGACTGTATCTTCTACTCATCTACACATTTACTCATCTTCTATTTCCTCTCTTCTTTGTCTGTAACCGAATTCAACAGTGACACATTTCCAAATGGCTTTCAGACAGTTACATACGGAAGCTAAAGCTTTTTGTGAGATGGAGACTGAATGTGTTGTAAAAATGACAGAATCTCCTTCGACTGCTTCAGAAAAGCCTGACAGTGTGCCTGCATGAGAACCATCCAGATCAAAGTATGTTTTTATGTAAAGAAAATATTCAAGATTTAAAACAAGCAGAGCTTAATTTACCAGAAGGCATTAGAAAAGGCCAGAGTTGATGAATTCAGCTAAATACATGGCGATTCTTTAAACCACATGTGTCGAAGTCGTGGCTCAGGGGCCAAATGTGGCCCTCTAGACTCCAAAGAGACACATGAATAGAACCTTCAAGAAAATAGTTGTGATTTTATCAATCAAATCAAACCTGTTTTTATCTGTATACTGCCAAATTACATCAATCATTTCCTCCAGTTTTTTGCAGAAATTCACTCAAAATCAACAGATGTCCGCCTTTTTTCACTCTCATATAACGTGGTGCCATAAAATCTATGATTTTTATTGTTTAAAAAAAAATTACAAATAAATCACAAATAGCTGGAGGTTTCTTGGAGATTTGTGCCATCGACATAGCACCCACATCAGATCAAAAGTGACATTGCTGAAACTGATGGGAATGTTTCGTCAGATGTTCAGTGTTATTTAATTTCAACAGGAACCCATTGAATGCAGAGACAGCTATTTATTAATATTTCAACAGTTTGTTAATGAGTTTCAATACATTTTGCCTCAACTGGCCCTTGATGACATTGATGATCTTAATGTGGAACAAAATGAAATTGAGTTTGACTCCCCTGCTTCATAAGCTTGTTGGAGGCTGGAAAATGATTTAGCGTGGGTCGAAATTTGCCTTCCAGAATTTTTTTATTTTTTTTTTCTGGAAAGATTGTTTAGTTGTAAAAAAAATTTTAATCTTCCCATCATTTTCCCTCCATTTTGTTTCAACATCAGTCTTTTTTATTTACCTTTAGTATTCAAAACAATTTTTTTGCAAGCCACTTTTCATCTTCGAGGTCTTTGCATCCAACACAGGAGCAACAAGCCAGCAGAAAATCTGCAGTAGATTTAGATGACTCATAAACTTTTATTCAATGAGTGAGGCAGAGAAGAACTGCGGTGGTAATAAGAGCGATAACAGTGTGCAGCGACTTCTACCAGGACAGCCAATCTTAATCTCATAAATACTGAATTATTTCTAATTCCAGATGGGTGCATAATTTAGATCCAGATAAACTGCTGCTAATTAACATGCATCATTTTATCTGGGGTAATGGACTTATTTGTTCCCTGTCCTGCACATTTACTGCAGCCCGGCGTTTTCCCAACTGTATAAAACAGGAGTAGAGGAGGGGGAAGTTGACCTGC